TCACCCCATCCACATCCTCTTCCTCCAGGAAATGGCTGGCCAAAGAAAACCCGCCACCCTTTCCTCTTTTGATATGTCCCCGAACTGCTTTCTTTTTTTTCTTTTTCTTTTTTTTTCCCAACATACTCCATTTATTTTTCACAGAGAGGCCTTCCTCTTTTGATATGTCCCCAAACTGCTTTCTTTTTTTTCTTTTTCTTTTTTTTCTTTTTCTTTTTTTTCCCCAACATACTCCATTTATTTTTCACAGAGAGGAAGGGAGAGGGACAGAAACATCGATGAGAGAGAAACATCGATCCGCTGCCTCCTGCACACCCCCTACTGGGGCTGTGCCTGCATCCAAAGTACATGCCCTTGACCGGAATTGAACCCGGGACCCTTGAGTTCACAGGCCGATGCTCTATCCACTGAGCCAAACTGCTTTCTTGCCCCTTGGCAGCTAACAGTGATGACCAAATATACTTGAATATCAGGTGGTCTCTCCTCTCCACAAATCCTACCTTAATAGGACTTTCCCCACTGAGTCAGTGTGTCAGTATTTCCTTTTTACTTAGTAAAACGTACTCCCTAACACCTTTGAACCCCTGCTGAAACTGGTGACGGCAGACAGGTTTTTCTGCTGCAAGTTTATGAGCAGGTTTTATTCATCTTGTCTTGAACTTAGATTTATCTTTCACACGTGTGGGATGTGCATCTAAGAATTCTGCACTTAACATGCACCTGCTTCCTGGATAAATGTGGGTTTGGGTTCACTTTGGTTGACAACCTCGGACTGCACTGGCTTAGGAACGGTCAAGAAACCATAATTTAGGGATTCTCATGAGCCCTCTAATTAAATGCAGCTAATGAGGGACAGCTGACACCAAAAATGGATTAAAATTAAAATGTCAAGGGCAGCACTCCCTGGCTTCTGTCCAGCGTGTCTGATGCGTTCCTCTAAGTTCCCCAAGTTCCACGCATGCACAGGGCAGGTCGCCTTGCTGCTGCAGCTGCCCCCATAGGCACACAGGAAAACAGCTGTCAGCTTTTATTACGAAGGTAGACATATTTGCCACTGGGTATGTAGGACTGATACATTATTGGATCTATCTGCTAATTACCACTATAGTTTTTCCTCTTTTGGAATTAGTTCATATATTTCTCAATGCAGTGCATACCCAAGATTTAGGGAAATAAATTCAGTTAAACCGTAGAATTTATTTATAGTATGCATCCCTGTGATCAGTGCTATCCTAGGTGCTACGAGTGAATCCAGGATAGAACAGAGAAAGACACTGCCTCCAAGGAACTTATATTCTAATGGAGACCCAAAATAGGAAGAAATAAATAATGTTAGCTATCCAGAGTATGAAAGCAGTGAGGAGAGTGAAGTAGCCAAGTGAAGGTTTGGAGGAAAACTTCTAGGCTATGGAACAGCAGGTGTTAAGGCTTTCCAACACTGAGGAGTGGTGAGTTAGGGGTGCACCAAGACCAGTATGAGGAGAGCAGAGGCGTGAAGGAGAGACTTGGGCAAGGGCCAGGCAAGGCAGGGCATTACATTACAGATGCAGTGAGCATGATGATGCTATTGGTGGATTTCAGATGGGGCATGGTGTCTGTTTTTAAAATATGTCTCTGGGCTCGGCTGGGCAGAATGTCTGCCCACGCACTGAAGGGTCTCAGGTTTGATTCCCAGTCAATGCCACATACCTGGGTTGTGGGCTTGCTCCCCACCCCGGTAAGGGTGTATGAGGGAGGCAACCAGTCAATGTGTCTCTCACATCGATGTCTCCCTCACTCTCCCCCTCCCCCCTTCTCTTTCCCCTCCCTCCCTCTCCCACTCCCTCATTCCCTCCCTCTCTAAATGAATGGCCAAAATCCTAGGGTAAGGATTAAGAAGAAAAAAAAAGATGTCTCTGGAAACTGGAAAATTGCCTGAAGGGGATCATGATAACTAGTCTCCAAAGATGGCCCCCAATGATCCCTGCATTCCCCTTGACTCTTGGCTTGACTATTAGCAGGCAGTGGAAGGAAAGTTCTGGGACTTCCAAGCCCAGGCCTGAAGAGGGCTGCCAGCTTC